GATTGAGATACTTTCGTTACGAATATTAGATTCTTAAATTATTGTTACAGTAAAATACGCATAGACATTAGATAGATGTTCTAGACCAGGGATACCCAAAGTGGTCGATATTGACCCCTTGGAGTCTGAATCGGTAACAGGCTCGTAGCCTGATTGCGGCTATCGTGCGGTGCGAGAGTGCGTGGAACTCTGCCGTCTCCTTCTGCGAGCAAGTTATGCTCGCGAAGGAGACCGCGGAGCGGGACCGGGAGAGGTTTAGAACTCTCCTGGCCCGCCAGGCCGGGAACGGGCCAGGTACCGCAGGCAACTCAGGCGCCGGAGGTCGCAGAACGACCTCCGTCCTCCATAAGCGCAGGCTTGGGGGTAACACGTGAGGCCATCTGCTCGCTTCCAGGGAGCAGAGGGAACATGGGGTTCCCACAGTGGGGGGGGGGGTCGTCTACTGATAAGACAATAGAGACTACCTCTTGCAATATTAATTTGATCACTAATAGAAAGTTCAATCACAGTAAATTTATTAAAAATAATATGATAAATAATATAAATTTGGTGCATCAAAACATTAGAGGAATGATGGGCAAAGACTTGGAGGTGGAACTGTTCATGAACTGCAATGCAATTGATATTTTTTGTATTACTGAACACTGGCTAAAAGGGGATCAGTTTATGTTCAATTTTGACCACCACCAGGTAGGCAGCTCGTTCAGCAGAAGTACAGCAATACATGGTGGCACTATGATACTCATTAATAAGAAACTTAAATTTAAAGAGCGCCATGACATTGTTAGTTTATCAGTTGAGCGAACTACAGAAATAGCCTGTTTAGAACTAAAAGGTTTCATAGTAGTATGTGTATACAGACCTCCTTCAGCTATGTATGATTGTTTTGAACGTGTTATGGATGAAGTATTAGTTAAAGTAACAAGATCAAAAAAGAAGGTCATCATCTGTGGTGACTTCAATATTAACCTATTGGAAAATTCAAGTATAGTAACCAAGTTCAAGGCACTTTTTCAATCATACAATCTGAAGAACTTGTTCTTGGAGCCACATGTTTGGACAATATATTTACAGATATTGTTATTAAGGACAAGAAAATAATCAATCAATTACAATCTGACCACTGTGGTCAATTAGTATCTTTCTGTGATAGGTATGAAAAAGTGTCAGAAAAAAGAATTGTGGTGATACCTAAAACCGCAAAGCGTTGTGAAAACTTTAAGGATAAACTTAAAGCTGCTTTTAATAATTCAGTACTCTGTGTAGAGAATAACCCTAATACTTATTATAATAGTTTTTTTGAAACTTTCTCTTCAACATTTAACACCATTTTTACACCAAAAACGCTAGTGGTTAAAGGTAACGCCACATTTAGTGAATGGGCTACCCCTGGCTTACTCAAAAGTAGGAAAAGATTATACGAGCTATACGATGAGAGGAATTATAATAAAAGTGAACAGTTTCATAATTATGTTAAAGAATATTCGAAGCTGTTTAGGAAACTTTGTAAACTGGCTAAGTCTCGTTTTATTAGTTCAAAGATTAAAAGTAGTAATGATAAGATTAAAACCACTTGGAAAATTATTAATAGTGAAACTGGCAAAGATCCAAACCGTAATAATGAATTTAATTTAAACATAAACAATAAATTTATCACATCAAATGCTGAGGTTGCTGCTGCATTTGAGAATTTTTTTACTAACATTCCTGTATCAACTACTAAATCTTTGAACTCCTCACCATACCTTGCAGAATCAATTTTAAAAGAGAATGTTAGAAGAATTGATAGTGAATTTAAGTTCCAATATGTGTCCCCCTTTGAAATTATTAAAGCCTTTAACACTATTAATGTTAAAAAAACAACCGACCTATGGGGAAATTCTGTTTTAATTACTAAGACAATTATATCTCTTGTAGCTAATCAATTGTCATTTACATTTAATCAATGTGTTGATAGTGGTGTATTTCCTGATCTTATGAAGTCTAGTAAAATTATTCCCTTATTCAAATCTGGTAGTACATCTGACCCAACTAACTATAGACCTATCTCAGTACTACCAGTATTTAGTAAAATTTTTGAAAAAATTATGTATGATCAATTGCACAGTTTTTTTAATAATAATAATTTATTGCACAATAGACAATTTGGTTTTACAAGGGGTCGCTCCACAACTGATGCTAGTGTTGAGCTAGTAAAACATATATTTGATGCCTGGGAGGATGCCCACGATTCTCTAGGTATCTTTTGCGATTTATCTAAGGCTTTTGATTGTGTTGTTCATGAAACGCTGATCAGGAAATTACAGCACTATGGTATCAAAAATAAAGCCCTGGAACTACTTGCCTCATATCTATGTAATAGGATTCAAAAAGTTGATATTAATGGTGAGCGGTCTCCAGGCTCTGTGATAGAAATGGGCGTTCCACAGGGTTCTATTCTCGGGCCTTTTTTGTTTTTAGTATATATTAACGACTTACCTCACTTTGTCAAGGACAATCTCGAGATTGTGTTGTTTGCAGATGATACATCACTATTATTTAGACTAAAACGGACACTTTCTGATCTCACATTTGTAAACAGCGCCATTTCGAAAGTGGTTCATTGGTTTGATGTCAACAATTTACTATTAAATGAACAAAAAACTAAGTGTATACGTTTCACTATGCCAAACGTCAAGCCAGTGAAAACTACTGTGATAATTAAGGATGTCGGGCTGGACCTTGTGGACACTACGACATTTTTAGGTATAACACTAGATGCTAAGCTACAGTGGGGCCCACATATTGATAAATTGTCGAGTAGACTCAGCTCAGCAGCATACGCAGTAAGGAAAATCCGAGAGTTGACTGATGTTGATACAGCACGACTTGTTTACTTCAGTTACTTTCATAGCATAATGTCGTACGGTATTCTGCTGTGGGGGAATGCTGCCGACATTCAAACTATTTTTGTGCTGCAAAAGAGAGCTATTCGAGCACTTTATAATTTAGGCAATCGTTGTTCATTGAGGCAGAAATTTAAAGAAATAAATATAATGACAGTGGCAAGTCAATATATTTATGAAAATGTAATATATGTTCACAAAAATAAAGATAGCTTTTGAAAAAAAGTGATGTACATGCCATAAATACCAGATATAAAAATAAATTTGTTGTACCCGCCTCTAGGCTCCAAAAGATAAACAAGTCTTTTCGAGGTCAATGTGTCCGATTTTATAATAAAATCCCAAATAATATTCAGGAGTTGAGTATTAACAAATTTAAATCCGCAATAAAACGTGGCTTGTGCCAGAGGGCCTACTACTCGATTGTGGATTACATGGAGGACAAGAATGCTTGGGATTAATTAGCGCAGGCTATTTCTTTCTTAAGTAAAAATGTGGTGTGGCTAGTATGTTTTTTATTATTTTTTCTATTTTTTATGTTTCACTTCATTTTCTCTTGTATTCGTTTGTTCTTCTTAATCTTGTTTTCTCTTCGTTGTTTTTTCACCTTTAAGTCCTTAATAACGGACATACTAGCACACATCAAAACAATGTTGTGATATATTTAATAGTGCCATTGTATCTACTTGTGAATTGCAAAAGAGTGGCCATGAGTTTGTTTGCCCTTTCTTCTCATAAGGCTCAACCCCTTGGAAACGGGCGGTTGTAGGTCGGCACAGGCATATCATAGATTTTGTATGGGTTTGATTTTGTTAAATTTATTTGGTTACTATTTGACAAAACAGAGATTGTTGCTTTTGTGTGTGTTGATCTATGACTTTAGAGTCTACATGGAAGACGATTTCAAACAATTTTGAAAATTTTATGAAATAAAGAAAGTTTGAGTTGAGTTGAGTTGAGTTACTCGTCTGTAGATGGCCCGAAGTATGTCGGGGCACCAGGGACTTCCTTTCTAGGGTATACCTGGTTCCCCGGCTATTAGTACCCGAGACGGCGTGCGGTTTTAGTCGGTTCGAGTCCGACATGCCACCGATAGGTGGTATCCGAGGGGATTTCCGCACGGAAAAAAAAGGGGTCGACATAGACGAAAACTGATTTTGGGGGTTGACGAGATCTAAAAATCGATCCCTGTTGATCAACACAAGCTCTTATTTGGAAATTCAAGATACTGTATCTACCAAATTATTATAAGACTGACTAATATGTATATTTATTTTGTTTAATTTTGATGAGAAAATGATGTCAAGTTTAGTCATTTAACCAACGACAAAGTTTTTATCAATAGGAAAACAACTAGAGGTAGGATTTTTTAAGTATTTTAACTATGGGGGTTTGAGGTATCAGTTCTCTTGGGGGGTCTCTTGCCCAAAATATTTTAGGAATCCCTGTCCTAGACGGATATCAGTTACTAAAATTACAGAAAACGGCCTAATTGGTATATAATTTATTATATATAAATATAACACTAGTTTAATTAGTATTTAGGCTATGCATAATTATTCCAAAGTTCTGCACTAGTATCGTTACTAATTTTATGGGCTTGATTTTAATTTCAGAAATTCAATAGTTTCGTCTACGATTACAGTCCTCGAAATGAGTGCCAAAGAGCTCAAGCGATAAGAGGTGAAGATACTTCACGATCATAGAGATTCCTACCCGAATGTTTATTTATTTATTAGGTTAACTCACAGCATATTTATTTATTCATTTTATTTATTTAAAAAAAAACAACTCCTGCACTAGGAATAAATCCTGTGTTGCGGGGGACTTTACAAACATATGTACATGAAATGGACACAAAGTACTCTGGGTGTACTTTGTGTACTCAGAACAACAATTTGTGGATCACACAAAATGTCATCCCATGTGGGGTTTGAACCCACAAAACTCGGTGTAGTCAAATGCTCATTTTATATGTAACATTTATGGTAAAATCTAGGTAATAATGTTCATAGATTCTAAGAAAAAAACATCTTCATTTAAATTAAAAAGTTTAGTAGTATTTACAAATGTATTTGTACCAAATAAATCTTAACATTATGGAAATAAAGATCATTATTCAACTAGCGTGAGTCTGTTGTCTAAGTAGGGTGTAATGGGCGTCTTTGATCTGATGTACTCTTCAATCACATCACGGTCATTTCCAATCACTTTGAAGTTGCGACCGTATTGTTTCATGTACTGTAAGAAAAACACAAATATAATTAAAAAAAAAGAGAAGCCTATGTTCAGCAGTGGACTATTACAGGCTGATGATGATGATGATGATGAATTAAAAAAAAACATTTTTAAAATAATAAAGTAGTTAATAGTAAATAAATAAAGTTTTCTATCCATACCAGGATTGCAAATTTCTTTAATGATTTATTTTATTTTTGTATTCCTTTATTTAATATTATTTAAATAAACGTATCTAAAATATATATTACTAGAGAAAAAAGTTATTTAATTTTATAAAAAAGTAATTAGTTCAAACTAACTTTAAATGAAAATGTTGATAAGAAGTCCAACGTTGTCAGTTGATATTCTTGTTCTGGGTCGAATTCCTCATTCCCATTACTGGCTGCCAGGAATGCTTCCAAGACATCAGCTGACGTTGTATTGATCTTCAGTCTAATACCTAGAAAACAGTAAATTAGTGTAAAGAGTCCTATTTTATGCATTAGCGAATTATGGGCATTCACAGAGAAATCGAACAAAGCAGTCTTATCTGGTCGTTCAAAGACGAAGGTTGGAAAGAAACCTCGTGCTTTTGAATTTTTCATATGAAATTACGTATAGCAACTTAACGACGTTAAGACGTTAATATTGCTAACTACAACAACCATAGAGATATAAGCATAGAATGAACAAGATAAGCAATAAAGGCAACGACAGAGATGGATAGTATATAGTTCCCTCTATCTCTTTCTAGTTGAGCACTGCGGTTGACGATAGCCAATCGCAGCTTAGCTAAACAGAGACAGGGGGAACTATAGGGCATCCATCTATCACGTTGCTTGTATCGCTTCCACTTTCAGGCAACTGTATCCCGTGTTCTGTCTCTGCTTATATAGCTATGCCAACAACATTTGCATTATATTGTGCATACTTTTGTACAGACAAAACCAATATATACGTTTTTGCGGGAAAATATAATTCAATCACAAATTCGCTTGTTGTTATTGCGTTATAATATAGCATTATTAATATAACCACATCTAGTAATACAGCATTGCAAATGTCTGATAATTTTCTGTAATTATAATTCATTTGTATAGTCATTTAATGTCGTTAGTTATGTTATATTTAGTTAATTGTGTGATGAAGCGAATAATAAAACATTCGTACCTGAAACCATTGGGGTATAAGCACCCGCATACGGATGAGCAACCCATGGATTCATAACTGAACTTTGTAATGCTTTAATGATGTATCTTCCGGGTATAACAAATGTCACAACTTTGTTTGTGAATGGAGACATATTGATTATAGTTCCTCTTGTTATATCTGAAACATAATAATATATTATAGATACCACTAACTATAATACTACATTTCTAATAAGAGTAATCCTTAAATAGTGACTACGGATGAGTAGTTTCTAATGGTTTGTACATGAGCATTTCTATTTAACGAAGCACTGCTCTTTTTACCTAGTATTAAAGGGTAAATCAAATTCAGCATCTTAGTTAATGGCAGTGCTTACATAATTAATTATAAAACTTTCAATACAGTTTACTTATAGTATAAGAATCTCAAGATTTTCTTTCTGGGACTTTAACTGTATATTGTTTTTACTTTATGTCCCGGAATGGGAAGTATGAACATTTCGGAATAGAAGTCACCAGTCTCCACAGCAGTAAAAATAAAATGACGTTGTCAAGTCAAATGGCTCGTGGTTTACTATCAGGCTCCTAATCATGCATTATTTCAGCTGAGGCCGTGGAGTGAGATGGGTTAATAAATTTCCTCAAAGTATAAATTCAAATTTATTATTTATTTTAATCACCCCTCATTTCCTAAAACCTTTTTACTGAGTTATTCCTGTATCCTTTATTTTAGATGGGTTTCCAAAAAATTGAGTCACTGTACTTAGTTCAGTTCATAAGCAGATTAACCAATGTTGTATTGATTAATCTATTTCTTCATCCTATGATCTGTAATCTACTACGGACTGATGGAGATGTGGGTTTGACAGTAGCAGAGTCCTATTGTGGTTGAGATCACAAAGCAGATGCTCCACTATCATGGCACATTCGGTCTTGTTTTGACATTGATATTATAAGTTTATCCTATCAAGCTATGAGCATTGGAAATCGTGAGTGACTAATAGAGATACATATAAGAAAAGTCCTTACCTCCTTTCTGTATAGATGCTCGAATTGAATTTCGTTGTGCAAATGAGATACTTGGTAAGCCTGATGGATACAATTTGTTCGCCTAAAACAAAAATATTAGATGTAATTTTATTAAATTCAGTAATAGTACATCGGTAGTGTACATATGTGTGGTGATGGATTAATAATACGGAGTGTCACCACCCATATTCATCCCGTGGATGCCGTAAGAGCCGATTGAGGAAGCAAATACGCAGGATAACAACAATGTAAAGAGGAAGAAAACTGGACACAAACCCAACCCTAACTATTGTGGTATAGTAGGCCAAAACCTCCTTTCTAAGTAGAAGCCCATGTCCAATTAACTAGTAAAGGCTGTTAATGTGATGTGAAAAACATCCTAAAGTAGGTACACGTATACACAGGCATATAAAGTAGACACATAGAAATACGATTAGAAATACGTATACTAAGTCTCACGATGTTATTTTTTTTTAATATCATTTCTTTTTCTTCTTTTACCATCTTAAATTCAAACCCTAACAATAAAACCTCTAATTTCCGACCCATGTTCTGACGAGTCTTTAATATTTTTTATTATTACATTTTAAAATAGTGCTAAATTAATGTTTCTTTCAACTCAACAATATAACCACTCATGTAACTGACCTTTTTTTGTTATACATTTCACAATTATATGTCAGAAATAAAATCAAAAATATTTTTCAATCAGTGAGGCGCATTAAAGAGACTTACGCTATCCAAAATGGCATCTGTAAACAGATTTCCCAACTTGCATTCTCCACTACTGCAGGGGTCCATTGGCAGGTCTTCGTTTGTGTAACCAACTACTTCACTAACCATTTTGTGCAACTTGTCGGCGTATGGCTCCAGAAGAGATTTGATTTTCGGATCTGCAAATATTATTTTATACAAATTATCATGCATTTTACTTCAAATGTAAGCATATATTTTTTAGACTTGAGAAAGTATAATTTTACAGGTACTTAAGTCCGGTCCAGTGAGTTTGTCACTGGGCCTGGTTAAGTCACTGTGTCGTTAATTTATTTTTAGTGGGACTCATAAAAGTTATATTTTACAAGATTTGAATCACTTGACTAAATAAATAAAGTGTCTGGTAAAACTTTAGAAGTAATTTTGCCTTTTTTAACTAACCTTCTGGTATAGATCTGTTCAAGAAAACTGGTGATCCTTCAAAATCTTGCAAGTCGCCTTGTTCGTCGAAGTATACAGACATGTTGCCCAAGTACTTGGAGTACGCTGACGCTGTCACTACCAGTACCTGTCATAGAAAATAAAATAAATCAATTTGACTATGAGTTTATGCAAAGTCATATATAAATCAGATATATATAACAACTTCTTTCGACTGCACGGATGGCGGAGTGGTTTAAGCGGTCGCCACGCCGCTTCCTACTACGCCGAGTGTTGTGGGTTCAAACCCCACATGGGACGACACTTTGTGTGATCCACAAATTGTTGTTCTGAGTCTGGATGTTCTTTGTGTCCGTTTCATGTATGTATATATATTCCTAATGCGGGAGTTGTATTAGTAATTACAAAAAATGACATAGGTAAGTTGTTTAATTCATAAACCTTTTTTACAATCACTTATTGTTCAAGCACGCACAACGCACAAAAATCTTCATAAAAAAACAGTTACCTATATTAATAAATAAATTAAATCCTAGTCATTACGTCAGGATATTAACGTGGATGAACGTGAAATCAGCGTAGTGATAAAATTATCCTATGTTATAGTAAATAATAATAAACATGAACTGGTATTGTGGAACTTATGATTACAATCCAAAAAGTAGTTTACAAATTGTGAAAGTCATTAAAATATTTGGACAATAATATAATTCACTTTTTATTATCACTGTTATCAGTGTTATTCAGTAAAAGTATGGCTTTCCCAAATTTCTTTGTAATTGATACCTTGTGCCCCGGCTTGTTTTCAGTTTCCACTAGTATTGGGTAAGGTCCGTCTACGTGTTCTTTGGTAGGTGCCTCTCCATTCCACAGAAGACTGTGTGTGTGTCCGCCAACAATAACATCTATATTCTGACCCACTTTCTTGGCAATATCTCTGTAAAAATTAAAATTCTTTGATTATTATTAGGAGATCAACTGTATTTAGACTTTACTAACTTGTATATGTGTTAGATATGTAAATCAGAACTTAATCTCTATAATAATTATGTTGAGGAAAACCAAGAAAAACCAAGAAAAACCAAGTAAAACCAAAAAGATAATATTTTCCAACCAGGCTAGGTCATCTAGCCGGACAGACCGCGGACCCAATAAAATATTGATGGTTGGGTCTAAAGTTTAACATAATATATTCCTTTCGTTGACGACGATGACGACATTAATGGGCCTGTTGGTTTACAAGTTAGTGGCCCTGACTGCTAAGCCGGAGGTCGTGGGCTCGATTCTACCCAGGACAAGAATTGTATGATGAGCACGATCATTTGTTCGGTGTCCGAGTGTAATTTATCTATAATTATGTATGTATTTTGAAATAAATAAGTATGTTTATCAGCAGTCGTGTTACTATAGAACAGGCTCTGCCTAGTTTGGAATCAGACGGCCGTGTGTGAGATGCGTGAAGTTATTATTATTATTGAAGTGTGTCTTTTTACCGTATATGGAAATTAAATTCAGTAATTATGATATGATACTCCTTTAACCTCCTTTCTAAGGAGCAAGGAACTACTACTACTAAGGAGCTATGTCCAGCAATGGACTATTAAATCCTGTTGATCTGATGTAACTCTTTTAATTGTCCAACATTTCTATCGAATTATATCGACCGTTGTTACGGGTAGACTAACCAACCGTTACCACAAACGGACAATCAGTGAACAGCGTATACTTTTTAACTTCTACTATAATATAGACACAAATTCGATAATTAGTTGTAACATATATTTTTTAAAGTTTAGCCAAATTTCTACTTGAAAGATTGAAAATCCCAGACGCTTAATAATACTTAATATACATAAGGAAATCAAGTACGCAATGAATTGACTATAGTGCAATTACCTTCAAGAAGACTTAAAAGGCAAGTTAAAACTATTGACATTGGTCAAAGAAGGAAGGAAGTTTTTATCATATTTATTTCACTAGCGGATGGCAGTTTAACAGTTTTGTTAAAGGAAAATACTCGTAATAAATTTTGTATCATTTACTTGTGCCCGAGGACACCAAACACAACAAACAATGCAAAACAAACAACAATAACAAACTTACAGACTAGGCAGGGCTTGTGCTATGGTAATCAGACTGCTGATAACCATTCTTATTTATTTCTTAAGCTTAAATACATACACAGTCAGCATAGAAGAGAAAGCAATATTCAATTGTACATTACCTAATATTTTGCATAACATGTGCGCGTAATAAAAGTTTTCTCACAATAGTTTTAAGCATACCTAATCTCTGTTACTATCAACAGCTATCATCTAAAATTTTAATATTTTAATCATAATCTTAATTTTCACACTCTACTAAATAATATAATATTAATAAGAGGAAAGATTTGTAATGAATAGGCTCTGAAACTACTGAACTGATTTTCAAAATTCTTTCACCAATAAAAAAGCTACATTGTCAGCGAGTAACTAGGCCATTTTTTTACAGCCATAACCAAAATAATAAAACTAAAAATAATTTCATCAATTCCAAAACAGAGAATAACTATCACCCCACCTCCCTTAACTCTGGGGGAGCACTCAAAAGCCATCAACGAACTTAAGTCTCTTGAGTTGCATGTGGTCACTTACCATCAGAAGACCCGTCTGCTCGATTGTCTCCTATACCATCAAAAATTCTGAAGAATTTAGAAAGCAGTTACCTAACGATGTACGGAAATCATGATGCAATGTGAATATTATTGGTTAGGATAATTATAATATTCTACCACATTCACACAACGCCATCTAGTCCCAAACTAAGCAGAGCTTGTACTATGGATACTAGACAACTGATATAAATACATATATACTTTTTTGTAAATACTCGTACATACTTATTATATGTACATAAAAACACCCAGACCAGATCAAACATTAAATGTTCATGCACACAAATGTTTGATTTGAGCGGGAATCGAACCCGCGATCTTTGGAATAGCAGTCCGTTACACAAACCACTACGCCATCCGGTCGTCAGGTGTTATATCCCTCCAACACAAAACGAGCATCCTCTGACCAGGCGAGATGATCATGCCTGGCTGACCGCAGCATTAAGATTGAAGTTGGAAAATATGCTGAACACAATCCATACTAAACCATATTAGTCCATACTAATATTATAAATGCGAAATTGTGTCTGTCTATCTATTACCTCTTCACGCTTAAACCGCTGAAGCGATTTAGATGAAATTTGGTATAGAGATAGTTTATGTCAAGGGAAAGGACTTTTATCCCAGAGTATCATACACAGGGGTTGAAGATTGTATAGGGAATCAATAACAGCTGAACCGATTTACATGAAATTTGGTGTGGAGATAGTTTGATTCTTGAGAAAGGACATGGATTACTTTTTATCGCGATAACCCATACACACGCGGGCGGGGCCGCGGGCAACAGCTAGTATAGGATAAATAACTCCAATACATAAAAATTTACACTGAATTAATTATTTCAGTGAAAGATCGTTCGCCCATGTGTTTATCGCACGAAAGTACGCGAAAATAAAACAATTTACAGACATTGATGTATCAATATTGTATTGGTTGGATTTACAATTATTAATGCTATAAGACTCACGATGCACGTCATTTAAATCGAAAAATTGGTATCCTTGCATTAGGAATACAAATGTAAAGAAACAGCTTACAGCAAAGTTAATGTACCTTAAAGGCATTTCGGTGCAAAAATATTATTTACCATTTATTCTTAACATATTTAAGCAATTTTTATTTACCCCACTCCGCGCAATACATTGGACAGCGACGCTCCCCTTACATGTGTATGTTGTTGTACATAAGTCCTTATTTTGTACAGTCTACTATATTTTATTTATATACCAAAGTAATACGACCCTTCTGGACACAAATATTTATCCTGGGTGTGAATCAAACCATCAACCTCTGGCTTATCAGTTGGCATCACTTAATTCCAGATTCCCAAGCCTGTCAGTATTAGTAAGTGGCATTCGCTTCTGTGGTGACGGATTAAGAATACAAATTGTCACCACCCCAATTCATCCCGTGGGTGTCGTAAGAGCCGACTAAGGGAGCAAACTAAGCAGGACAACAGCACTGCAAAGAGAAGGAAAACTTGAAACAAACCCTATACCACCCCGTAAGTCATGTAAACATTTAACTCTTACTGAGAAGTAAGAGATAAATGTTTACATGTAACTTTGTAAGGTTAGAAAGGATTCTCATCCTTTCTAACCTTACAAAGTTACATAATATCAAGAATTATGCTCTGCCTGCCACTTATCGACTTACGGACGATTTAAATGCAAAAGCAGTAACCATCTACTATATTTTCCAATAAAGTTGTCATGATGTAAAGAGTGCATAGGACGGGTCCAATAAACTGATAAAATATTCTCCAAGAAGGAATATGATATAACGGGAATAACGGCTTTTGCTGACGTATTTGTTTTAGACTATCTAATATTGAGGAAGCGTATGTCTTGAATAACCTACGATGTTAAAATTTATATATCTATAATACTAATCGACTCGTGTATCTTGTAAATGGCTATTCTTGAATCAATATTTTTACCACAATTAAACTAATTAAACTTTTTTTTTGTTGTTCAAGATTTTTTTGGTACTTTAACGAGTTAACGTCTTTCTTAGAGACCTCTCCAGTCATAAGACCGATATATGCACTGCAGCTAAAACTGCAGTAGTTTTAGTTCGGGTACCCATTCAAGGCTTGTGGCATCCCTTACCCTAAGACCCTCACTCTAGCTGATGATGATAGTATTTTTGGTGTTAGTTATTTATAATTTTCGACTTAGATAAATATGAAACTTTTAAATAAAAACAGTTCAGTGAAAATAAAAAATTAACAATTGTTTGTCAAATGTAGTAGGTAATGTAGGTTTTTATACCATTTAAAGAATTTGAATAATAAATTATTTCTTTCACAGCTATCTTAGCAGCTTATAAAAAGCAGATTAATTAATGATATTATTATTATTATGCTATAAAACCACTAACTTGTCTACATCAAGTCCACAATGAGATAGCACCACAATGATTGTCACGCCCTGTTCTGTCAACAGCTGAGCTTCTTTCTCCACTACTGGAATGGGTTCCAGAAACTTAACACCATCTGCTCTCGATATCATCTGAAAATATGGATTCGCGTTTTAATTTCTATGATTACTAATCTTTATTGAGAAATCTATTTTTGAGCTCAATTGAGACAATCCAAGTAAAGTATACAAAGACACCATTAGAATATATGAATATATGACTCTCTATTTTAAGGTGACAATTCGTGAGATAGCTTGTTCCGAACTTCCTTTTGAAGTAAATCTCATGCGGGAATAACATCTTTTTGCAATCAGAGACTGGATTAGCTAATTCATAACCCAATCAAGGAGGAGGTATACTTCACAGAAATTACCGCACAGGTCACAACGATAGGTGTAAATAAATAAAAATAAATAAATAAAATGAGCCTTTATTACTGTTACTCTCTACAATATTTTCTTAAATGTTATACTATTTACATTAATATTATACTTGTTACACCGTTGTGGTCATTATAGTATATCGGTAATCGCTTTATGTGTAGCAGCTTGTCTCTCGACAAAGGCCTCCTCCATGCGGTTCGATCCCTAGCTATTCGGGTCCACTTAGCGCCCGCCATTTGTCTGAAGTCGTCTTCCCAACGTTTACACTGTCTCCCTTTATCTTTATCTATTCTTTTGTCGCCCATAGGACACCACTCTGTTATTCTTTTTGTCCACTTTTCTTTCGTATCCCGTAACATATGTCCTGCCCAACGCCATTTTAACCTTCTACTAACAATATGCGCATTTTTTAATTTAGTTTCTGTTTTAATTGTTTCCAATTTCACTCTGTCCCTTCTTAATCCTATTACACTTCGTTCGATGCTGTTCTGGCACACTTTTATTTTATTTGATAGCTGATCTGTTAAAGCCCATGTTTGACATCCATAAGTTAAGCACGGGAGTATGCAAGTGTTATATACAGTTCTTTTAATTTTTATGGACATTTCCTCATTTTTCATTATTTCACTAAGGCTCCAAAATCTTTTCCATGTCTTTGTTATTCTTCTATCTATTTCTTTAGGCATGTTGTCAAGGGGTGATATCAATTGTCCTAAATATATGTATTCTTTAACATACTCTATTTCTTTCTCGTTAACCATTATAGCATCTAAGTCTGATTGCTGAGCGTTAGTCATTATTTTTGTTTTGCTTATATTCATTGACAGCCACGCTGTAGCACTTTCCTCAGCCAACTGCTGCAGCATTCGTTCTAATCGCCGTGAATCTTCAGAAAATAGTATTAGGTCATCAGCAAAGCGCAAGTGGTTTAATTTTTGGCCATTGATGTTAAGACCTATATTTTCCCATTCAAGATTTCTGAAAATCATCTCTAGAACCGCCGTAAACAATTTTGGTGAAACCGGATCTCCTTGACGAACTCCTCTTTGGACTGGGAATGGTTCTCCTGTTGTTTCGAGCTTCACCTGGGCTGTGCTTCCTGAGTAAATAATGTTCAGGATTCTGATGTATTTCATTTGAACCCCTTGGCATTTCAGGGCTTTCCATATGTATTTATGTTCCAGGGAATCAAATGCCTTGTGAAAGTCCACAAACCCTATGTAATACGTTTTCTTGTATTCTCGATATTTTTGCAGGACCTGTCTAAGAACATGGATATGCTCAATTGTAGAACAATTACTACGAAACCCTGCTTGCTCTTTTGGTTGGTTTTCATCCAATACATTTGCAATACGAGACAGAATTATCTTGGAAAACACTTTGTAAATATTGGACATTAAGCTTATCGGTCTGTAGTTATTTATGTCCCCTTTATCCCCCTTTTTGTGAAGTAATATTATAGTTGACTTCATCCAATCAGCAGGTATATTCTCAGTTCTTAAAATTTCATTAAACAGATTTGTTAGTATCGGAGCTATGATAGATGCTGTAGTTTTAAGTGGTTCATTAGTTATCTGATCCGACCCTGGAGCTTTATCCGTTTTTTTGTGAGTTTATAGCCTTTATTGTTTCTTCCGTTAAAATGAAAGGCACCGGTGCTGGGTTAAGCCAAGTGTCAAGTTTCTCTTTGTCTTCCGACTGCTTCTCCGTGTACAGTTCTCTATAAAATTCTGTGGCAATTCTTAGTATTTCTTGTCTCTTGCCTGAGTGCCACCACTGCGATGGCCAGACCGTGGACACGGCTCTCCACACGCTGACAGAGTGCCCGGCGTGGGTTGAGCAGAGGCGAGACCTCGTAGCGGCCATTGGAGTGGGAGTTCTCTCGCTCGATAGCCTGATTGCGGCTATCGTGCGGAGCGAGAGTGCGTGGAACTCTGCCGTCTCCTTCTGCGAGCAAGTTATGCTCGCGAAGGAGACGGCGGAGTGGGGCCGGGAGAGGTTTAGAACGCTCCCGGGAACGGGCTAGGTACGACCTCCGTCCTCCATAAGCGCAGGCCTGGGGGTGACAGGTGAGGCCATCTGTCACCCTAGCAGAAGCAAGCCGGGGTGGCGGCGAGCGCGTTGCGAAGCGCGCTCGCGCTTCCAGGGAGCAGAGGGAACATGGGGTTCCCACACGGGGGGGTCGTCTACTCGTCTGTAGATGGCCCGAGGTATGTCGGGGCACCAGGGACTTCCTTTCTAGGGTATACCTGGTTCCCCGGCTATTAGTACCCGAAACGGCGTGCGGTTTTAGTCGGTTCGAGTCCGACATGCCTCCGACAAGAGATATCTCACTTACTGTCTTCAACAACAATCAGAGTGCATGATAAAAATAGATGCATAAAATTAGAATCCTATATATTTACATAATTTAATCATTAAAGCAGTTTTCGAGATGAAATGATGAAACTAAGCTACGACCGAGCACATATCATTTAACTAATAAATATTATAAAATGTTTGAAAATTGCGTTTTTTTTTGGCAAACGAGAAATCGGTTCACCTGATGGTAAGCCTTATGGACTGACACAAGCTATTAAAAAATTACAAATGTGTTATATAGGCAGCCCTTACGTGCCACAACAAATGCAAGAGGAGCAGTAAACTTTGGGTCTTCGATAGCCTCATTTACTCGGAGAAATTCAACAAAAGAATTTTATAACACTGGGTTTCCGTTTCTGTGTGATACCACTCTACGCATTCCGCAGTTATTTTCAGTGTAATCAATCAGACGATACCCAAACATTCGTTAGCTTGCTAACATTACCGGAAAGGTGTTTACCATCACCCGCTTGTATTCTTGGTCTAGTGGTTGGTGACCCTGACTGCTACCCCAGAAGTCGTGGGTTCGATTCGCACCCAGGACAAATAATTGTGGGATGAGCACGGTCTGTTCTGTGTGTGGGTGTACTTTACCAATAACATGTATGAATTTAGAAATATAAAAATACTCGTATGTTTATCAGGAATCTGGTTATCATAGTACAGGCTCTGTCTAGTTTGGGATCACATGGCCTTGTGTGTGAGAAGTGTGACAATATTATATAATGACTGGCTCGGTAGTGCAGTGGTAGCGTATGCGACTGCTGTGCTGAGGTCTCGGGTTCGATTGCCAGGTCGGACCAAATGTTTGTGTGGTCTGCAAATATTTGTTTCGCAGTTTGGGTGTTTTCTATGTATAATATGTATGTATTAACAAAAAAAGTATATAAGTATTCTATCATTCAATCTAGTTTTCATAGAACAAGCCCTGCTTAGTTCGTAACTAAATGGCGTTGTGGTCGGAGTTGAGGAGTCGGTTTAGGGAGTACTCCTTGCGACGCTAACGCAGTTAGCGGTCTCCTCCACTGTCTGCTGTGTTACCCCCTCTACCTAACCATGTTAGCTGGTTTACGGTACGTTACTATTTTGCTAATGTATCCGTGTAATTTAAATCACCGCAATCAATTCAAAAACAACTCTTATTGCATGATATTATTTACATAATGTAAACAATATGTTAACATGGTGCACGCTCACCTGGGTTCTTGTAGTAATCAGACCGATTACACCAATCTTCCGTCCATTCTTCTCTATTATAACATGAGGCTGGTAAAGACCATATATTTCAGAATCACTGGAGCTAACGAGATTGGCTGCAACAACCGGAGCCTTGAGCCCCTTGATGTATGGAGCAAGGCCTGGAATGCCATCGTCGAACTCATGATTTCCGAGGGCCTATAAAACAAAAACAATATTAAATAGATATTTTTTTATGGTATAAGGGGGCACACGGGTCACCTGATGGTAAGCAACTACCGCCGCGTATAGTCACCTGCAACTCAAAAGTCACAAGTGCGTTGCCGTCCTTAGAGTCCCTCTCGCTCGAGTCAGCGGGAGGGGGGATTTGGGCTAAGGTAACCTCACTAACTCAGTGAAAGGCAACGAAAGAATTGCTTAACACCGCTAAAATAACCTTAACTATTTGAGTTTGTTTCATGAAATTGTTGAAAAATTAGAATGTTAATTGTTCCGATAGTCACATCTGGTCGTGGATTAATAGCCCAATCAATGCCTACTTTAAAAGGTTTGCGTTAGACTGGATCTAGGGTTTGATATAGAAATCTCTAAATGACGAAAATTGCCAAAATTGCACCTACCGACTATTACTTTTTCCAAAATTTAGACAACTTTTTAGTGGGTAAAAAATTCAATTCCCGAGAGGCAGTACAAAATGCCTTTGAAGAGTTTGTTGCCTCCCGTCCAGCTAATTTTTACAAGAAGGGCCAATAACGAAGGGTCAATAAACTGCCAATGCGTTGGCAAAGATGCGTCGATTTCATGGGTGATTACTTCGAATAACAGAAATGAAAAAGTTTGAATAAATAACTACTTTCACTTATTGCATACAAAACGGCAATTTCATAGGTAAAGACCTTTTTTATTTACCCTTTCTTTTTTTTTTCCCCCGTGCGGAAATCCCCTGGGATACCACCTATCGGTGGCATGTGGGACTCGAACCGACTAAAACCACACGCCGTCTCGGGTACTAATAGCCGGGGAACCAGGTATACCCTAGAAAGGAAGTCCCTGGTGCCCCGACATACCTCGGGCCATCTACAACAACAGGTAGACGACCCCCCCCCCCCGTGTGGGAACCCCATGTTCCCTCTGCTCCCTGGACAGACAAGGGTGACAGATGGCCTCACCTGTCACCCCCAGGCCTGCGCTTATGAGGCAGGAGGACGAAGGTCGTTCTGCGACCTCCGGCGCCTGAGTCGCCTGCGGTAGATGGCCCGTTCCCGGGCCGGGAGAGTCCTAAACCTCTCCCGGTCCCGCTCCGCCGTCTCTTTCGCGAGCATAACTTGCTCGCAGAAGGAGACGGCAGAGTTCCACGCACTCTCGCTCCGCACGATAACCGCAATCAGGCTATCGAGCGAGAGAACTCCCACTCCGATGGCCGCCACGAGGTCTCGCCTCTGCTCAACCCACGCCGGGCACTCTGCCAGCGTGTGGAGAGCCGTGTCCACGGTCTGGCCATCGCAGTGGTGGCACTCAGGCGTTGGCTCCTTGCGGATCAGACACAGGGGATCCCCGAAACATCCTTTTCCAGTGATCACCTGCATCAGTCGGTATGAGTCATAGGTAAAGACCTAATATTTAATATACATTTTAAAATGGGATTTATAAGAATTTAAATTGATTATATATTATAGATATATACATAAGACCTAAATTAAGCTGAGCTTGTACTGCATGTTCTAGAACACGTATAAAAATCTTTTAATATTTTTAATAGAATGCAAATAGACTTCATGCATACAATTATTTGAGCGGAAATCAAACCCTCAACCTTGATTACAAATACTTTAAGGTCTCCTCACATAATAGACGCGTTGTTTCATTATCATTCCTTTTGTTGACATGTATAATGTGTATAAGAATTTTGTTTCAGTAACATTCCAAGAGTTTGATGTACACAAGGTTTTTGCTACTGTAGGCACCGGATTTCAATGATGATGAAATTCATAAAATGATGTAAAAGAAAAATATTATTTATTTTTTAAATTAAAGGTATCTTATGTTTAACTTAAGCTACTAATTATTTATATTACTTATTTTATTTCCAAGTCCCGTGACCTTAAAATATAATTACTTACGTCGCCTCAGTTAAAACAAGGTCAAATAATATAATACAATTTCTGCTTCTGTTCAGCTTTGTAATTTTCAATGAAATTACAGAGCTAGTTGTGAACTTCTAATAATGCAGAGCAACCAAAAAAAGAAGTAGTAATTTAATGATTTAGAAGGGTAAAAATACAACTCATGTATTATCTTCTAATCTAAATTAAATTTTGCGCGTGTATTATTTATAGAAATGCTAGAATATTAATTTTATATTAAAACATTAAGAAATAATAGAGCACACGGTGTTGTTTCATTTGGTTCAATTTTAATACATCTAAGAATTATACAATTACGCAGGACAACAGCACTGCAACGAGAAGGAAAACTTGACACAAACTCTAGACCAACCCGTCTAGCCAGCGTGGTATAGTAGGTCAAAACCTCCTTTCTGAGGAAAGGCCTAAATCGAGAAGTGGACTATTTAAGGCCGTTGATGATGATGATGATGATGAAGAATGGTGAAGGTGATGCCTATCCTAACTGAGTTGCACATATATGTATCTCTCAGCCTTTGGTATCCGGTCCATCCTATCTTTCTTTCTCAGGCCAGGCCAGGTATTATGTGAAAACTGACGAACTGAAGAAGAAGATATTAAATAAAATAAAATACTCACATGGACATCATTTGGTATCATATTAATGAACTTCTGTGTAATATTCCACTTAAGTAGTGTGTACCAGTAAGTGCCCTGGTACGTGTCTCCAGCGTCTAACACCAGGGCTTGAGGTTTCTCTCGTAACAAGTCTTGAATCTCGTAGTAAAGACGAGCGAAGCCTCCTACACAAGAGCTGTCGTTGGATTTGCATATTGGAAAGGCTACTGAAGTTTCTTCAAATCTAAAACAAATGAACATTTTTTTGCTTTTTATGGTTTTAACTACTAACTGGTACATACTTCTGGCTGAAGACTATCTCCAAAAGGAAAACGTTTAATTTTGCAAGGAAAGGTGATAGAGTCGTACTGGTTATATATAACGTACCTACCAGGTGACAGGGAGTGCCAAAACATAGCAAACTTTACGAGGCATTGTTTGGTTCTGGCAAGATATCTAAAAATGTTTTCTAAATGAACTTCTTTCCAATAGAAAATCCAAAACTCTTGATACTCAAGTTTCATTTTATAATCAAGGCCCGGTTCCTGACGAAATTAAAACGTCACTGGGTTTTGTTTTCTAAATTCCGACATATCCTTTCTATGTGAATTCGTGCCTCACGTGACAGTGTATTCAAAACCAAAATCGGTTTTGCGAATCATGTACGGGCGCATAAGCGTAAACGGAACTGCTGAAAGGTGACAGGGTGTCGCCGTTGACGGATACGTCTGGGAGGACATCATCATCATCATCATCATGTGAATTCGTAGACCATATTAAAATATACTATGGCTTGTGGTAGTTACTATCAATAAATGTTTAAGAGGAAATTTTGTAAAGGCATTAGACGTTGTTACTATGTAGAATTCCTCGGAAACAAACCAACTTATTCATAATTATTAGCAATGTCCTCGATTTTCTGTATTACCGCAAGGTTAGAGAATGGCGTACACATTAAATGTACTTTTTTTTTACAAATATGTGCAAATTTAAAAAATAAAAACATTCATTAGGTGCTCGTAAACGGGTTTGTGTCTCATTTTGTGATTGCTCATTACCTATTTCAAACGATGTCTTAAACAAAGAATACACAGTAAAGAAAGAATGCGTTTATATTTTGAAGAATTTAATATTATTCAAACCTCATTTCAAGACTTACGATTCATCAGTGACAATTGCTATAGACTAATACTAATAGACTGCACGGATGGCGTAGTGGTTTAAGCGGTCGCCAATCCACTTACTACTACGCTGAGTGTTGTGGGTCCAATCGCTCCATGAGACGACACTTTGTGTGATCAATAGATTGTTGTTCTGAGTCTGCGTGTTCTTTGTATCCATTTCATGTATGTTTGTAAAATATCCCGCGACACAGGATATATATATTCCTAATGCGGGATTGTCTTTAAAAAAAATGATAATAGAAGTACATATCTGTTATCATCGACCAAACATAAATTACCATACTCCGGATCTAAAGTTCTGAGATTTACTATCTACATATAAGCAAATACCGATCCCATCTTGCGATTTATTTCTGGTAATCATGTAGGTATAATACTTGTGGTTATGGTTTATGGTTTATCCAAAGAGTTTGTTAATATTATTATTATTTGTCTTGAAAAGTTGTTAAAAAAAACTATTGAATCGCATATGTCGGCTCATTGGTAAAATCAAATGCATACTTCCCTAGCTTGCTATTACATACTTTCGTCCCTCATTTTGCAGAAAATTTAGAAAAGAAATATCATCAAGAGCCTTAACAGTCCACTGCTTGACATAGGCCTCTCCTTAGAAAGGAGGTTTTGGAGAATAAATATGTTACACATCAAAACTACAATTTTAGACTTGTGGCAGTTTTGTACACACTGCTAAAAAAGCAGTATGGACTTTAAGATATAATGAGTCCAAAAAGTTATTATTTGAGTGGCATTTCTTTAGTTAATAAGTGATTATTTCATGCTGACAATTTCTCTTGATTGGTAATTTCAATCCCAAAGGACCTTCACAGTAATATCTAATCTAGAATAAAAACTTGAACAACTGTATCGTATAATTTTTAACGGTCGCAATACAAACAAGTAGACAACGGTGGGAACAAAACAGATCTGAAGGTCACAAGACTTCAGCCATCCGTTAACGCCACAGTACATCTTCAATAGAAGTAATCTTACTTATAAATGAATTCTCGCTGCTTTTATATAATTCCTTAAATTGAGTTGAGCTGTGTTGTTTACGCGCTCACCATAATTATCTTCATTTGACTTTTAAATGCAGACGATGCAGAGTTTTCAACATCTAGTTCTAGAAACATCAAAAAAGTCAAACATGATGTCTTCGAACAGCTTCTTTTTAGTTCGTTATGTCTATTTTTGAAGACAATGACAAGCCTGTTGATCTAGTGGTTAGTAATCGTGCTATATGGTTCGATTCCCACTTAGAACGAAATCTGTATCAGAGTGGATCCTGTAAAAACCAACAAGCATAAAATTTAAACTACCATAATTATACATGTCACTGCAGTCGCGTTATGTTACCCGTAACAGAGAAGAAAAAAAATAATGCTAAGGCAACAGGTTACTTCAAACAAATTCAAAAGTGAATTTCTGTCTGATAATTTTTATAGATTTTCAAATGTTACATATTATACGTTAACAAAAAAAACCTTTATTTATGAAAGTATTTTAACAAAACACAAAAGTATAATCTAAGCTAACATTTTTAGAAATATATTATAATTATGATGATAACAATCAAAATTTTTATAGAGTTAATGAACTGCTTATGTAAAAATTAGCGTTTGCGGAATTTCATGTTCCTTTTTTTTATGATTTTTTCTCGAACAATTAACAGTCTACGTTTTATCAATGTACATCCACAGATGTTTGCTGCCATTAAACAAAACATAAAATTTTGTTCATACGGATGTTTTGAACATAGCAAAAGTATTTTCATATAATCACAATTAGTTCGTCGAAATAAATCTTACAAAAAATTAAATAGAGTCTGATTAAATAGACCTTGATTGTCTACAATCCCGTATATCGTGACCTTTAATCTGATGGATTTCCCAAACCTTACTTGCGAGTAATTAAGGGATAATGTTACTTACTTAGAGATCAACTAATGTAGAGTTTGTAGTTTCATCAATCGTCCACAAACAGTCACAATGAACAATACGATCGAGTTTCACTTCGAGGAAAATTCAAGTAACAAGTACTACTCATTCAAACACAATTGTTAGTTTTCCTCGAAACATTAATGTTTACGATGGCGCTCACATGAATTTAGATGCGTTACCGTACCTACGCCATACTCATCTAGGGATAATGAAATTAAACCTGCATGGTTCAAATTTGTGATTATTAAACCTTCGTAAAAACCATACACCTTCTATTTTAAAACTGTCACGATATTCTTTTGTTTGACGAAATGTTTTAAAGTTCAATAAATTTAGAAACGGGGATCTCAGAAGTCAAAGTATTGTTCATGAACTAAATTGGTAACACTCGAATAAGACTTCCATTGTTACATAGCAATAAATTAATAGCTTTAGCTTGAGGAATAAAAGAGGCACTTAAAAACGTTATATTACAAAAAATTGAGGAAGACTAAAAATTTTTACAAAAAAGTTTAATGTTTATTATTATAATGATATTAATTTACCCACAAAATTTACTCATTTTCAGAAAAAAAATTAAATTAAAGTCAAGTAATTAGTGCCTCATGTACAGCAATGTTCATAATATTTAAATTTGTCTTATTTTCATTACTAAGTACAGAAATTTTAAAGATAAAATTCACAAGAAGCCACGACATACACGAGAGAAAGAGTTAAAAGTATATTCCGAGCACAATTCCGTTAATTACTAATTATTAAATTTCAATACTTCGAATGTCATTCTGTAATAAAATAATTGACAATTATTATTTTTCACTTGCAAATATCTTTTGATAGGCGTTTTTTCGAATTCTATTTTCTTCGGAATTCAAGTTATTCTGGAGAGAAGTAAGAGTAAAAAACTAAATGTTTACTCTATTACTTATCCTCATATATAAACTTTTACTAGGTTACTTTTAAAAGGTTAGAAATGGATGAACTGATTTTGGTCTTGTAGATGGGTGTGTCTCATAGTCTTTGGCTTTGTTGGTTTTACAGAATAATAACAGAACAGAACAGTACACTTTTTGAAATTTTTATGTTTAAATAAAAAATAATCCTGTTCTATTTAAATGGCGAAATTAATCTTTTTATTTTTGGATACTGACTGTGATTCAGAAGTGCTGATTTTTCTATTGAGGCAAAATAAAATATCGGCACGCCCACTGGGCTCTATAAAGTTTTTTAGCCATTCGTTTAAAAATGCTCAAAACATATAATGCGTGTATGTTTTCTCTCCTGTTTTTTTGTCTTTTCTTTTCTTCTTTTAATGTTGAGTTCAAAAACATAACAGATCATAACGAACGAAACTATGCTTTATTAGATTATTTCACGAAATATTGATAAACTGTGGTCATTTCATTAAACGACCGTAAGTTTATTTTCCCGGTTTCTTTTTTCAAGGCTCAACTACCTGGAAATGGGTGGTTTTAGATCTTGACTAGATAGCGATTTCCGCTATCCAGAACACGTAATATAAAATACGTATAATATAAAATATTATTTTCTTTTACTTTCGACAAAACAAATTATCGTATAGCGTTATCTTGATCTATATTTTTTAATCTAAAACTATACGACTTTTTTAGGTTTTAACCATTTAAAAAAAACCATTTAAAAACCAACCAACCAACAAAAAGGTGCTTTCACTTTTCGCATAAATAACAGGTTATTAAAAAAAATATAATAAGTTTATCTTAAATCTAGATGTGAATTAGTTGGTCATATGGTTAGGCCACATTTCTAAAATTCAATCGCACAAGTAATTAGTCTCATTTTAGTGCAGTGCAAATAGTTGACTGCCTCGGTGGTGTCGGGTCGGACCAAATTTTTGTATGATCTGCATAGATTTGTGCCGAAGTTCGGGTGTTTTCTATGTATATTATGTATGTATTTACAAAAAAAAGTATATAAGTATGCTATCAGTCAATCTAGCTTTCATAGTATAAGCTCTGCTTGGTTTGAATAGTTTGATACCAGATGGCGTTGTCTATGTCACATATTAAAAACTTTTTCATTTACAACCCTAGTTAGAACTCTTTTATACAGAAGAAGTCTTTTATACTCTAAATATGACGTTTTTG